GATTGGAGTCTAGAAACTAGATAATTAGGAGTATTGATTTTAGGTGATGACATTATTGGAATAATTGACATTAGTTTATTTTAAAACCAAATTTTAATTCTATTTAAAATAAGCTAAACTTTAAAATTTGAAAAATTATTATGAATTTTTATTAATTAATCAGATATAGTGATTGAATTACTTTTAAGTAGAAACATTAATTAAGAATTAAATCCATCTTTATTTTTATGTCAAAGGATCATACATTAATAAAGTTTATTCAAGTACAAAAACAAAAAATTATTAAGATAAGGGTTAAAATCATATAACAAGAGGATTTTAGAATATCAAATAAATTTAATTTATGAACTATTTTAAAGCTGAATAATAATAATTTAACTTTATAACTTCAATGAATAATCTTTAAAATTTTTATAATAATCTTCTTGTTAGTAATAGTTAGAAGCATAAATCAGATTGACAAAAACCTATATCATCACATAAATGAACAATCTTATTGTTTTTGAGATGGTTGTAAATCATTGATTTACATGATATATACCGATTTTAAGAACTAAGTAATTTGATGTCAATCCTGAATCATCAAATATTAACTTATAAAATATTATTATCTAAGAATTGTATCCTATTTTCAATAAGAGGTATTATTATTTATCGGCCCTGATTAATATAAGCATTCAACTAATAGAATGATAATGTTTCTAAATTATAATTCTAGATTCTAGAGTATAAATACTTTCATAGAAGTTATTCAGCTTTTAAAACTATTTTAGTTGAAAAAACATTAGTTTTGTAAAAGGTGAATATATTCGATAGATAAAGATATGTTGGAAGACAAATATCATGACTAAATGAAGGGTTGGCAAAAAAAAGTGAATAATTTTAGAATGCTATTGTACTTAAAAGAGATTATGGCAAATTTTAGAACAAGGCTTATAATTCAAAATAATCTATGGAGTCAAAATTCTATAGTAGTAATTTTTACAATTATGAGGAAGCTGATTTAAATCTTAATAATGTATCGGAGAACAATCTGATTTAGGATGATGTAATTTGAAGCTTGTTTAGATAAAATGCTAGTCTCAAAAATTTCGAATTGAGAAACAAACTTCAAGCCAATTTCATTATTTTTATAAATATATGTACATACATGCATCAAATATTTAATTCTTATCAATTCAAACTACAATATTATTGCACTTACCTCTTCTTATTGTAGCCTTTTTCATCATGACTATCAATGTTAATTATGTTGACATTATGATATTAAATCCCTAATTACAGAAATATATAAATATTTCTTTTTGTATTTATTAAAATTATAGTTACTTAAGTTTTTAAAGGAATTCTAGATCTGAGTAATAATTTGATTTAGAGTTAATAATAAAGAAATCTAATAAACATCAGAAGTTATTAATGAAATTGACAATTAAAGTCTAGAATTTATAAAGCTGAACTACCAAAATAATCAAGTTTAAAAGTGCTTGTATTTAATAGGAAGCAAACCAGAACAGTAGGCAACGGTTTTAAATCATAAAACTCATGTAAGCAAAATCCCTTAATTAATTAAACTGATTTAATTTTGCCTCCATTAGGTCTAATACAGTCCATGACTTCAGTGCCGAGGCTAGATTGATGGGCAAGAATATATAAATAGATGACGTTAAGTCCTTCCGAACTACCTTTTCAATCATAATCAGTAGAAAATAAAAGTTGCTCAATGATACATGCTTATAGTCCAGGCTTTGAGTTGTCATCCAAAACCATATAGCAGGCATGCCACAGAGTATGGTAATGCAGCGCCAAATGTTTTCGGCAACAAGTGAGGTATTTATATTCTTATCTTCTTGCGAAGCGTATTAAGAAATACCAAATGTTAGTGAAGGATTATTGTAGATATATTCCAATTCCGTATAATAATAAATTTATGATATGATTAAATTAATATTTTTGAACTCCTCTAAAATATTAATACCAAATTATGATTCTTAAATTCATTATTGCTTTGTATAAATACAAGCCAAAATTATTATTCAATCTTAGTTAACATAGAATTCACACTTCTTCATCTCCACTAATAATCATGTTAAGTTTCATTTACAATAAAGTTAATAATTGAACTCATTCATAAATAGGGATTTGTAAATGTTCATCATTTGATGTATTTTTAATTCTTCATCTTACTTTGATTTATTTATCAATCCTCTTAATAGTTGTAAAATTTTGAGCAAATATTTGTTCTATTAGAAATCAAGGAGCAACACTGTTATTGAAATACACAAGCATTAAATTATAATCATAAGTTGATTCTTAGTATTTCTTTTGTTAAAATCAACCTATGATCAATCAATGAAAATGACCTTCTAAACATAGGGTTCATTGAACTGTACACTGCTATTTTCAGTAGCTTGTAATTTGAAAAAGGGAAATACATCTTGATTAGAATATAAATAAATAAATACTGAAAATATTTCAACAATGAAAGAAAATAAATACAACGAAAATAAATAAATATCAACTAAGATCTTGAGTTTAGAAATGTTTACTTAAGTTTTGTTTGAATTTATACGTAAAAGATATTTAATGATTAATTTTACAATCAACAATTCATATTTGATTAAACCATAAATTTAAAATAAATTAGAATTCAAAAATTCCATTATTATATACTTATGAGTATTATCCTTATTTAATTACTGTGAAATTAATTACATACGTTTTGCCTTCATTTTAAATTTTCAAATTTTTAATAGGCTCTTTAATTAAATAGTGATAGAAATCAGGCAACTCTAAGTATTATAACAATATTATTCTTTTCTGAATTGAATTTCTATTAGTATAAATTAATTTATAGAATTGAAAAGATTTTTAACCAAATTTCTTAACTTAATTAGATAATTTTATTTATAAAATTATTATAAGTTTTTTTTATCTTGATATAATTTATAAGCCTTCATATATTTATAATAAAGAATTTTTGAATGATCTAAACATAAAAATTAAGGGGCACTTCCAATATTATTTTTCAGATGATGCCAACAAAACGATTGATCAAATTTTAAATTAAATTAAATACTTGAACCTTATTCTCTTTAATTTTTAGATAAATTTCTAATGCAAAAATATAAGCAATACAAATATTAAATGAATATTCAAGGGTCATTTAAATTTTCGCTTAATAATAACTGTTTTATCTTTACTTATATCTTATTGTGCAATCTTTGCCCAAAGTCAGAATTATGAATCAATAGTCCAATTATCATAAACAGATTATTAATTAAATCTTGAATTTCACTGAAATTGTAATAATGAAGGTAATTAAAAACATTGTAAAAATAATGTAATGAAATATTTTTAAATAAGAAAGAATAACTTTTAATTATTCTTTTTTTTTTAATTCTATTAATTTTTGATGTTTTTACTTCATGCATTTTTTAATTAAGTTTAAATTTTACTTTTACATTTAAGAAGATGATAAATAACATAACTAAATATCAAATAATTTATTAAATAATATTAAACCATTTAAAAAATATTGGTTAATATAATTGTGTTATTATATATAACCAAGCAACTTTTTAAGAAAGAAAAAAACATAAAAGAATCCTTTCAGGGTATTGTGAGAGCAAAGTTAAAGCACGCAAATTCTTGTGAAATGATAATTTCTTAAAATTAATTTTCAAAGATTATATAATTAATTAGCATTTAAAACAAAATATCAGAATGAATTAATAGATTCATGAAAAATATTCTGCTTAATTATAATCATATTTCTTATAGTGTATCTATTGCTGAAAAGTAGTAAATAAAAGTCTTTTAATAGAAATAAATTCTAGGGTATCTAGATGGTTAGATATATTGATAAAATTTGATTTTTTTAATTCATGATGGTTTTTTATTATATATTAAATCTAAAAAGAATCCATATTAATTACTTAATATGGATCCCAAATAGAAATAAGCCTCATTCCACATATTAAAGATGAATTTTTGTTTTCAATAATTAAAATATTAATTTTATCAAAGCTAGCCTTAAATTCTAAATTTAAATATTTCCCGAACACTGTCATTCATAAATATAATGCTTAGAATCTATGCTTACTATAATTCTGCTCAAATACCAAGAGTTATTCCTAAGTGGTACTATTAATTTATAATTGTTAGATTGTGAAGTAAACAATAAAAACTCTAATAAAGTGTTTATATCTTCTTAAAATCATAGATTGAGATAATCAAGTATATTAATAAAAATAAGTTATGATTGCTTATAGAGATCATTTGAATTAATGATCTCTTTTTGAATAATAATGCTACTTTAATAGCTGATTAAAATAAAGCGAATAGTCAGAATTCGATCTCTTTTAAAAATTATTACTAAGACTATCTATAAATCATTTATTTATATTAATAGAATTATAATAAATTCTAGAATATTCTTATATATATATATTTTATATTATAAATAATAAATATAGATTATTATGATTTGATTAATAAAAATATAAAAAATAATGAATAATTAGATTGAAATTAAAAGTGATGTTATTTAATAAAAGATAATAGAATGTTTAGAAGATGTATAAAATTAAATAGAAGTAATATTATTTAATATATAAATTTAATAGTCTTCATTCAATAAAATTGATAATTATTTAGATTAAATTCTTAATAATAATTGTGATTCTATCAATAATAATTATCAAATTAATTATTAAATATTACCAACATTTAACTTATCTTAAATTCATTTTCATAATTTACATTTTCCATAATAATTATATTAAGACATATAACCATTAATCATAAATAAATCTTAAATTAATAAATAATCATAATCAAATTAATAAATATAATCATTTAATAATAAATCATTTATTTATGAATTAATTCATTAATAATCATAAAATGAATATTGTTTTGCAATAACTTTTAATAAAGATTGTTCAACATTATTGACTGGATGTAATAATTAAATTAAAGTATTTGAATTCAACTAAGGAATGATCAAATAAACTTAAATTTTAAATGAACATAAGAATAATGTACATACTCTAAATTTTATGAATAAATCAAATTAGTTTATATCTGGTAGTCATGATAATTCTATTATTATATGGTAATTAAATCAAAATAATTAATGGATTCCCTAATAGACATTAAATGGACATACTAGTTAAATCTTTTGTTTAATATTAAATAATAATGAAGATTTAATCATATCTGGAAGTTATGATAATAGTATTAAATTTTGGATAAAAAAGAATGAATGGACGTGTTAATAAACAATTAAAGATCATTCTAGTTATGTTACTGGATTAAGTGTTAATTAATAATAAAATAGAGTTGTATCTTGTGGTTATGATAAATTAATATTAATAATGGAATAATAAGGATAGAATAAAGA